AGTTTAGTTTGTTTAAAAAAAAAAAAATATATATATATATATATATTTGTTTTTATTTGACTTTTTCAATTCAGGAAATAATGCACCAAAAATATAAATTGTAGTACCTCAACTTATTTCTAATTTTCATTTTAGTTTAAGTTTTTCATAATATATACAAAGCCATTCTCTATTTATCTCTAACGTTTTATTTTATTACAAAAAATAATAATAATAAATTATATATATATATATATATATATATATATACACACACAAAAATAATGATAATAAATACATAAATGATATTTTAATAGAAAAATATGATGTTTTTGGTGCCGTCTCTACAGTAAGTTCAGATGAAACGGGTTCAGTTTTCTCGGCGTCTCTTGCCTCCATCAGCCGCTTGATGTCGATCGCTCCGCTCTCTCTCTTCTGAGGAGCCGGGTTTTCCTCCACCTCTTTCCCGAAATGCTCCGGGGGTCTGGCCTTGCGGCCCGGGTTTCGTCTCTCGACCTGAACCTCTGAAAAACAGCGTTTCGGGGTGGACTGCTTCTTTCTCTTCTATTCAGGGCACAGAAAGACCATCAGTATAAAGGAAACGTCGTTGGACTGGTTAGATATGAAGAGAAAGCAGAGCACTGGTGCAGGGGATTGTGGGATCTCACCGCAGGCGTCGTCTTAGAAGGAAGCTCAGGCAAAGAACTCAAGTCTGCAAACAGTTTTGCAAGCTGCAGGAAAAGAGTTTACGTTAACGTAAACATCCAAGATATTATGAAAGAATAGATTCAAAATAAACAGAATTTGCATCAATATTATATTAGATTGAATAAATGTTGCAAATACATGACAATACTGCTATAAATTAATATTATACTTAATATCATATTAAATATTACAAATATAAATGAAGACTGTTTTTAATTAATATTATATTTTAAACATATATTAGAAATACTACATTAAAACAAGTTAAAAAAAAGTTATATATTATTATTATATTAAAAATGAAAAAATGCTGTTTTGAACTATATCTGATAAAAATGTTATTACAAATATAATTTAAAAAAGTTAAAACAGAAAATTATTATTAGTTACAAATATGAAAAATGCTCTTTTGAATTGTATTTTATTAGAGAAACCTTTTAAAACAAAATTAAATTAAAAAAATATTAGTATTAGTTACAAATACATACGAAAATGCTGTTTTGCATTGTATTTTTTTTTTTTATTATATTTTTAAAACAAAATTAATTATTACCATTATGACAAAAATGCTGTTTTGAATTAGATTTTATTTTTTTAAAACTATTTTAAAAAACACATTTTAAAACAAATTTGAAGTTTCTGTTCTGAAAATTCAGTTGTTATTTTTATTTTTAAAAATTATAAATATTATTTTAAAACAATGAATTCAGAAAATGTATTAGTTACAAATATATATGAGAAATGCCGTTTTGAATTATTTTATTTAAAAAAAAGATTTTTTTTTAAACAATTAAAAGTAAAAATATTATTATTAGTTACAAATATGTGCGAAATGGTATTTAAAAATATTATAAATATTATTATTTTTTAAATGAATGAAAAAAACAAGCATTGCTATTATTAGTTATAAAATATATATGAAAATGCTGTTTTGAATTATATTTTATTAAAAGATAGATAGATAGATAGATAGATATATAATACAAATATTTGAAAAGAAAATAATATAGTACCATAGCTTTATTTTCTTGGATGTTTTTGGCCCTTTTGCTCAGTATCTGCATCTCTTCGTCGGTCAGTAGACTCTCCACATTGGTCACGTTATCAGAGGGTTTTGATTGGCTCTCTGCTCGAATGCGGTCATATAAAGTAGACTCTTTTGTTTGTTCTGGTTCGCGCCACTTCCTGTTTCCTCCCGCAGGCTTCCTGCTGATGGGCGGGGCTGGGGCCGCTTTGTTGCCCTTTTTGGCTGTGTTCCGTTTAGGGGCGGGGCCTCTTTTGGCGGGAAACTTGAATGCGACACACAGTCCAGAGCTGTGCCTCTTTTTAGACGCCGGTTCCTCTCCGTCAGAATAAAAGCCGTTATCAGAGCCCTCACTCTGCAGGTGACATTTTCATTTGATATATATAAATAATTAAAGAAATAGTTCAGCCAAAAATGAAAATTAGCTGGAAATGTCCTCAATCTCAGGCCATCCGAGATGTAGATGAGTTTGTTTCTTCATCAGATTTGGAGAAATGTAGCATTGCATCAGTGTCTCAGCAATGGATGCTCTGCAGTGAATGGGTGCCGTCAGAATGAGAGTCCAAACAGCTGATAAAAACAAGTAATCCACACCACTCCAGTCCATCAGTTAATGTCTTGAGAAGACAAAACCTGAAACAAATCCAGCATTAACATGTTTTTAACTTCAAACCATTGTTTCCGGCTAAAATCAGAGCCCATAATCTATAATAACGCTTCCTGCAGTGAAAAAGTCCATCTCCTGTTGTCTCTCACATCAAAATCCAGCCACGTATTTGTTCAGAGCTGTGCTTGATCTGTGCAGATTTCTCTCCTGATTCAGACCAGAACACTTTTTCACTGGAGGAAGCGTTGTTATGGATTATGGACTCGTGTTTTAGTTAGAAACGTCTTAATGATGGATTTGTTTCAGCTTTTGTCTTCTCCAGATGTTAACTGATGGACTGGAGTGGTGTGGATTATTGTGATGTTTTTATCAGCTGTTTGGACTCTCATTCTGACGGCACCCATTCACTGCAGAGCATCCACTGCTGAGACACTGATGCAATGCTACATTTCTCCAAATCTGATGAAGAAACAAACTCATCTACATCTCGGATGGACTGAGAGAACATTTCCAGCAAATTTGGGTGAACTACTCCTTTAACCCAAACTGAGCAGATATTCCCAGACATCATAACTGTACGTGGGTTTTTTTTTTGTCATATTTACCACCGGTTTTCTCCAGTCACACTCGTCCGCAGGGAACCCCTCAAACTCTCCCTCGCTCTCGGTGTCCATGAAGGCCTGCGCCAGCTCATCCTGACACAGAGAGAGTGACAAAACACATTATTACTATTCCTGGATTGTGCGAAAACCATCTCGATTATTAATAGCGCTGTTTTGCAGCTACTGCCGAATCATCAGCGTGAAGGAGACCTGCCGTGCTCTTGGATTTTCTCCAGTGTATTTATATTTCTGATACGAACTCAGAAATGCAAATGAAAGACGGCTCCGTCTCAATCAGAGGAGACGCGGCATCTTAACTTGTGGTTTAAAAGCATTGCTCGTAAGAAGTAAAGCAACTCTTCTGGACACATGACGGTCTCTGGTTTCCTCACAACAGACGGAGGACATCTGCAGACCGACAGAGCTAAAAAACATCCACTAGATCACTCATCCAATAACATCTGGAGCACTACAACACACAAAACCAGGCTCACACTTCAAACTTGAAAAGTGGTTTTGAACTTCTTTTAAGTTAATATTGATTTTATTTCAAGTAGCATGGTTTTATATTACAAAGTAAATGATAAAAATATATACATTATTTTGTGTGTGTGTGTATGTATGTGTGTGTGTATGCATGTGTATATATATATATATATATATATATCATTATTATACTCTTATACCTTTTGTTCTTTAATATTTTGAATTGTTTTTAGCTTTATTTTTTTGTTTTTCATTTAAATGTTAAGTTTTGAAATGTTGTTGTATGCATTTGTCATTTTTATTTAATTTCTTTATTTTTAAAATGTGTATAGGTAGCATTTATAAAGTTTTAGCTTTGGATCTGTGTTTAGTTGTTTTAATACTGCAACTGATTGCTTCTGGTGTCCTCATTTGTAAGTCGCTTTGAATAAAAGCATCTGATAAATGACTAAATAGAAATAAATAAATATATAATATATGCATGCTTTAAATCTTTTTTTTTTTTTTTTTACTTTTTTCAAGCACTAAAATAACTCAAACTAATAAATAAATAATACTGTATAGACATTAAAACAATTTTAAAATAATAAATAAAATAAATTGTAAAAATAATAATTTCTCTTTTTTTTCCCAGTTAACATTTATTTCAAGTAAAAATATTTTGATTTTACGTTTAGCTGAAAAAAATGCATGCATTAAAAAAACTAAATTACTAAAACTTAGTTAGGTCAAAAATTAAAAAAACACCCTAAAATTAAAGCAAAGACAGAAAATACAGATATAAAAACAATAAAATCTGAAATAGTAATAAAAACTATAACCGTTCAAAACTAAACTGTTTTTGGTTTTTTTGACATACAACAGCACACTCTGTGCTCTCATATCTTCAGGAAAAGAACATGCACGCACAAAAGTAAATATTCTCTGGCTAATTGGTTCCAGATGTTAATACTGAATCATCAATAATAATGTGCATTAATTTCTGACAGTGTAGATGATACTAACAGGCTTCCAGGATCCCTTTGATTGGATGCTGTCTCTGCTGTCCTCAGACAGATCGGCCACTTCCAGCTGCTTTGCCTGAAAGCAAGAGGTTTATTAGAGCAAACATTAAATAATTACAACTATATATATATATACACATATACACACACACACACACTATTATTATTAATAATAATAATAATGAAAACAAGAATAACCAGTGCATTATTATAATTATTATTACTACTGTTAACATTAATAATAATAATATACATTGCATAAAAAAATATTAATATGCCATTTTTATATATATTATAATGCCCTACTACAACTACAACAACAACAACAACAACAACAACAACAACAACAACAACAACAACAAATATTGTTAACTTGGTGCAGACACCAAAAGATATCCATAACTTCAAAACAAAGATCTGAATATCTAGAAAAACGCAAGTTAAAAGTGGTTTTCAGACGCACCATCATCAACACTTTCTGCTGAGCAGCTTCTGTGGCTCATTAAACACGCATTTAAGCACGGTTTAAAACGAGGAGCACTGCTATTATCTTTCTGCATGCAAGTGTGTGCATGCACTTACTCAGCTCTCGACACTTTTAAACGGAAAGCACCCGTATCGCTCTTACCTTCGAGGACGCTCTGCGTGTTTTCATCATTTTAAGAATTAAGCGCGTGCGATTAAAACTCTTTAATGAATGAGAGGTTTAAAAAACAACAGGAGCGGACCGGAAGCTGTGAGACAACGGAGGGGGGGTTGCGTGCCGAGTCCGGCACTAAAGAGGCCATCAGCTCACTTTGAATGTGTTATCATTGACATAATACCTATTATATACTGTACTTATAAACAGGCGATAGACTATACAAGACCAAAGTCTCCGTTTTTTACTTTAATGTGAGACTTGACGCTACCGGTCCCCCCCGCGGTGGCGCCTGCGGTCTGAATGGAACAGTCCAGAATGCGGCGCTTTGCAGTTTCGCGGGAAATGCCTCACGCAGGACACTATCATTCACTCGAAGCGTGCACATGCGGCTATAAAGTGTGTCTTTCATTTATAAGCGCTGTTAAATAGACCTTCAGAGGCCTGTTGATGATATTAGTCTACATAACAGCTATAACATCGCTCCACAGAGCCAGAAAGCTAGTTTGACAGATTATATAATGTGACCCTGGAGCACAAAAGCAGTCATAAGGGTGCATTTTTTGGAAATTGAGATGTATGCATCAGCTGAAAGCTGAATAGATATGATTTCCATTGATGTATGGTTTGTTATGATAGGACAATATTTGTCCGAGATGCAACTATTTGAAAATCTGGAATCTGAGGGTGCAAAAAAATCTAAATATTGAGAAAATCATCTTTAAAGTTGTTCAAATGAAGTTCTTAGCAATGCATATTACTAATCAAAAATTAAGTTTTGATATATTTACGGGAGGAAATTTACTAAATATCTTCATGGAACATGATCTTTACTTAATATCCTAATGATTTTTGGCATATAAGAGAAATTAATCATTCTGACCCATACAATGTATAGTTGGCTATTGCTACAAATACACCCCAGCGACTTAACACTGCTTTTGTGCTCCAGAGTCACACATTATAATAAAAAAATGACATGCATACTGCTGCCATACAGTACACACTAAATATGATACGCCCAAACATTCTGTCTAAAGGGATAGTTCACTCAAAAATGAAAATTTCCAGTACCAAACCTGTATTCATTTCTTTCGCCTGTTGAACACAAAAGAAGATATTTCGAAGAATGTTGCTGGTGCACTTGACGGTCCCCTCTGACTTGTGGAAGAAATACTATGGATGTCCAGCAACTTCTTCTTTTGTGTTCAACAGATCTCATACAGGGCTGGAACAACTGGAGGGTGAGTATAAATGATGACAGATTTGTATTTTTGGGTGAGCTATCCCTTAAGTTTCTACAACATATCCCGGCACGGTTCTACAACAGCTTTTTCCCCCAGGCTATCAGAATCCTGAATACGCTGATACCACCCAGCATCCTACTCCCATCATAAACTGCCTTCCTACCCCATGTCTACAGGAAAGAGAAAGAAAAAAACACTCCAATGGACATTTGCATACATCTGCACTCTGCACTTTCACTTAGCTGTGCACTATAGACACTCTTGCACAACTGCACAATGGTCAGTTTACGTACATCCGCACTCAACGCACCCAATGTGCACTAAAGACACTCTGTGCAAATGTACATATTTAACATAATATCTGCTATGAGCCACCTAAATTGTGTGCAAGCACTTTATTCATTAAACTCTAACATTTCTTACATTCCTACAATTTTCACATTTCTACCTCATTTAACACGTCTGCCTTGTTATATTTATTGTGCCCGTCGTGTTTATTGCTCGTTATATTTAATGTGCTCTTATGTCTGATCCCTGTTGTCATGAACATGTTTTGTCAGTGTCTTTGCACCTTGGTCCGTCAGAAACGAGATTTCGTTCTTCTGTATACTGTGTGTGTGGAAGAGTGACAATAAAGTTGAAGTTGAAGTTGAAGTTGGCAACCTGTTTGGTTTTGAGAGCACACCCCAGCGCTGTCTAAGCTCACTAGATTTATAACAATAGCCTAGTGCAATGTTGAAAGTCCCTTTAATAATGCTTTGGGTCAAATATGGACTAACCCAACTTTTGGGTTAAAAATTGAATGTAAAAATGTAACCCAACAGTTGGGTTAGTCCATATTTGACCCAAAGTTGGGTTGAAACAACCCAGCATTTTTTAGAGTGTATGAGAT